TGAACAGGTGCCACTGAAGCATCCTGCTGAGCTGCTGTCTGATAAGGACAGTATATCCTGTCTTCTCTGCATCACTTTGCATCTAGCTCACATCACTTCATTTCCTTCCTGGGACCTTCCCCCGGATTCTTCATATAAGGTCAAACATGAAGAAGAGCTGCATTGAGTTCTGGTGTCCTGAAAGACCTCTTCCAAATTTGTCCGGGCATTAATTTCTCGAAGTCTCAGCTTTCTCAACTGAGCTGTGAAATGTTTATGATAATCTATGCTCTGTGGATATCCCTTATTTTTTAATATAAATTATTTATGGAATAAGACATATAAAATATCTCCGAAAAAGTTGAAAGTTATATATTTTTGTCAGTGTGTTTTATAAGATTGAAAAAAGTTAATTTGTGCAGTTTTGTTTCTTTGGTTTTCTTTACGTCTTTATTTGCTTTAGAGAGTTGAATCCCTCAGGGCTGACCACACCACAGGAAGTTTGCTTCCATATTTAGATGAATAAAGGGCAACCAAAAAACCCTCTGCCCTCAAAATCTCTCACACACTGCATGCTGACGTCTACACTCTGCTTTGTCCTATTTACTGTAATTTTACGTGTAAGATGCCTTCCTGTGATTTAACAAATACTGATTAGTAATACGAGCATATAATTTATTATACATAGGAAGACGCTCTTGCAAGTGAAATGGCGTGCTTTTAATAATTACATCAGAGCAACAGGTGTCAGCCAGGACTGCACTAGGCAACCCCTATTCATTATTCACTCCTTTGCATGAATTTAAGTGGATTCCTTTCTCAACGGAGATTTCTTACACTTAAAAAAAAATGACTGTGGATAAGGAGGGAGGATTAATGAATAAATAATTAATTTTGTGATAAAGTTCAGGCTATTGTAGAGGACTTGAATAGCATGAGAAGCCTAGGAGGCCTCATGGATACCTAGGAGGCCCACTAACCTCATAACATTCTTGGCAATCCACCTGTTTTATTTTTTAATTATTTTATTGTGGTCACATTGGTTTATAACATTGTATAAATTTCAGGTGTACAACATTTTGTTCCAACTCCTGTATAGACTGCATCATATTCACTACCAAAACTCTAGTTTCCATCTGTCACCATTCATATGTGCCCCTTTACCCCTTCGCCCTCCCTCCACCCCCTTCCCCTCTGGTAACCACTAATCTGTTCTCCTTATCTATGTGTTTGTTTATTTATATTCCACATATGAGTGAAATCATGGTAGTTGTCTTTCTCTGTCTGACTTATTTCACTTAGCATAACACTCTCAAGGTCCATCCGTGTTGTCACGTGGCTGGTTTTTTTGTTTGCACTGGCTGCCTATTCCCACCTATAGAAGTGCTGATTGCAACAAAATACTTTGGCTGTTCCCGTAAAGACAACTAGAGAAAAATGATTTTATAACAAAAGGTAGATTTTAGTCAATGATATAATGTTTAAAGATATTTATTTTTTAAAATAAGACCTCTAGATATCATTTTCTAAGTCCAATGGCATATGTATAATATATTACGTATATTATACATAACATATAATATATTAAAATATGTGCATGTGTTTATAAATATAAATATATATGCATAATATACATTCACCTGATTATGGCTGAAGAAGCGAGAAATCTCGAGCACATAAGGAAGTGTCCTGGTGCCATGAGAGCTGTTAGAGTTAGATGAAGGAGACTGCAGCTTCCTCTGTCTGTCTGTGTTCTAAACAGACGAGCCACATTGCATCATATCAGCAATGATTCTGTGACTTCTCAGTTTTACCTCTTAGTGCCTTACATCAAATTAGGAACTTTCCCTATTCATGACTTGTATCAAACTATTATTCCTTTGTATATCATTAAATGTCTAATATATACCAAACACTGTGGAAGAAAACTAATTTTCTAATTTATCATTTTTTCTTCACGAAAACCTTATAAGTTGGTTGTTAATATTTTCATTTTGCAGATAACAAAGCCAAAGCTCACTGGAGTTGTGTGTTTCCCAAAGTGGTTCAGTGATCAAATGCTTGAGTGAATATTCACATACATTCTTTCATATATCCATCCAACAAACACTTGCTGAACTCCTTCAACATGCCAGGCCCTATTACCGGTACCAGAGATTCGTAGTTGAATAAGACAGCCATGCCCCTGCTCTTAAAGACCTTACATTCCAGTATGGGAAATATAATAATGATGATTTTAAAAATTGTATGTATGTATAAAATATATGAACTACAAGATTTCAGATGACAATATGTTTTATAAACTCAAAGAAGAGAGTGAGGTAATAAATTGTGACTAATGGGAGGTAATTTATACAAGTGGTAAAGGAAGGGCTAGTTAAGGAGGTGATATATGAAGTAAATATAAATGAGAAGAAAGAGTTAGCCATGAAAAATCTGACAGCAGAGAGAACAAGAGCAAGAACACACCTTCCAAAATGAAAATAAGTTTAGCTTTTTCAAGGAACAGAATGAGGGTCAGCATAGATGGCCTATAAGGAATAACGGGGAAAATGGTGGGAGATGATTGCCCATAAAACTTATACTGTATTCATAATGTTAACTTGCCTAACTGTTCTGGAATGTTCAAACTTCAAAGAGAGTTGGTGTCCAGCTAAGAAAATTAGCTTTTCACACTTATATGAGAATCATCAGAGGGAAAGAGGTACATTTGTAAATGGTATAATTGGACCTTGATTTCTATGTTAGTTCAATCAGCTGTTGAAAAGTCCTGCTTTGCCTGTGGAAAAGACACAAGGCAAGGATTATCAGTGTGTGTAAGAATATTTTCTTTCTCTCTCTTTATACCCCACAGACTTGGAAAAGTTCAAATAATGCTGCAGATTTATAACAGTGATATTATGAAATCTTCACATGGTGTGTGTACTTAGTGTCAGAGTGTGGACATTAATCCAAATCTCCCAACTCTAGGAGGATAAATAAACATTGAAGATCTAAGTTGCTTTAACGGAAAGAAATTAGCAAAAGCATCAGCTATTCCCTTAAGTACCAATCTTAACTCCTCCTTCACCATTCATCAGCAGATTCAGGTGTACACTTGCTATCCAGGGGCAGTCTGAACTCATATATTTCTCAACCCTGCAATCCACAAGGCTTCCCGAGTAGCACTCTAGAGTTTGGAACTTTTATGTTTTTAATACATATTCTTTCATTAATTCATATTTATTTATCCACTCATTCAACAAGTATGTACTGTCCGTACTGAGTACATATTTAGGTTCCAGCGCTATGTCAGATGTTACAGACACAGAAGGGACAAGTCAGAAAAAGTCCTTGCGCCCCAGCAGCTTACAGTCTAATATGGAAAGTAGTTGATAAACAATGATATAATATCAGATATTGACAAGTGATGTAGAGAAAGATAAACGTATGTGGAGGCATAGAGTGTGAGGTCCTATTTTACATTTAGAAGGCAAGTGAAGACCTCTCTGGGCAGATGACAGTTGAACAGTGAGTGAATTGAATTAAAGAGAGAGCAAGACATGCAAGTACATGGAGGAATATCCTTTTAGAGAACACGCAAAGACCCTATAGTAGGAGTATGCTTGATATTTGTGGGACAGCAAGGAAGTTACTGTCGGATAGGGCAGTAGCTAATAGGGAAAATGGTAGGAGAAGTAGCCAGGGGCCAGATCATGGATAAAGCCTTCTCAACTATAAGAAAGTCTTTGGATTTTATGGTAATTTTGACAAGAAGCCATTGACAGTGGGAAAGGGGAAGAGTTGAACATCTCAACAAACGATATGACTTAATTATAAAACAACCCCCACAACCGCTATGTGGAAAACATACTAGGAAACTGGCTGAAAAATAGAGTGGAAGCAAAGAGAGACTTTGGGACCAACATGTATCTCTTCATGTCTTAGGTAAACAAATCAATATGACAGCCTAACTAACCTCCACTAGGTGATAATCTGCAAACCACCTAAGAATAACATTTTCACAAAGGCTTTATTCTGAACACAGAACGTCTTTACTCTAAAGAAGTGATATTGATGATAAAATTTTTGGCACCAAGATTATTAACCAGAGTAGTATTTTGATTCCCTCCTTAAATCACCATACATAGACATTCTTCATTCATTTTGTGTTGATCTTAATAACTTATCTGGATGATGCTGGTATCCTGGCAATATATTTTTTATAACAATCATACTCCAAACGTGAAGCCTCAGAGATATGCGAAAAGAATAATCTATCAAATAGGAGAAAAATAGGAGAATAATATATTACTGAGGGAAAATAAGGGCAGTCTAAATGACAGTAAAATACTACTGAAAATATTAACAGGAGATAAATGAAACAGATAGTTTAAGACAAACAATTTTAGAACATAGAAAGGAAGTTTCAGACCACAAGATTCTATTTCCTGCATTAAGGCAACTTCTTACTAAATGATACCTTAAAAGAACTAATCCCCAGGGAAGAAGTGAATGACACATTTCTGAAAGCCAATTTATAGCTTCCTAAGTAAAACTCTTCCAGACTCCAAAACTCTTCCAGAGAGAGATCCATGAGGATAGAGATCCTAAAATTCTTATTCAACAATAAATCCTCTAGCCCCAAACTGTGTCAGGCTCACTGTGGATGTTCAACAAATACTAGTTGTTAAATAAATGAATGAATGGGATTCCAAAGAAATATTACTCTCTCAATTATTTCCATTTCAAAGATGAGAATCCCTAACTTTTAATTCTTTACTTAGATATACTGTCTCCTAAACTATTTGTGTTTTCTATAAATTTAAGGAAGGATGTCTCAGATTCTGGGAAAACCTGCTTGTCTCTTCATGCTACACCTACAGGTGTGAGAAAGCACATTTCAGACAGCAGGGAAAACCCACAGCTCACCACAACACATTGTAAATTGTCTGGGCCACTGGAGCATAGAGAGAACTGGAGTAGATGAGTGATCAGGAGGCAAAAGGAAGGGGGTGGAGACAACATAAACTGCATATAAATGCGCAGAGACTCAGAGAGTGAACAAGAGCTCCAGCCAAGACTTGCACTGTAATTGGCTTGACCTGGGATTAACCACAGAATCTTGACTAGAAAAAAGATGAATGCTGAAGATTGTTCTGTAACAGAGAACAGCTCCTTGCATCTGGAGAGAGGACAACAAAGTAAGTCAGATCTTATTTCTTCTACACTAGTAATAACTATCTATCTATATATGATATATAACAGTACTTAGGGAAGAAAATGAGGCTTTGTCTTTTGAAGAACTTGGTTGCATTTTATTTCAGTCAGGATAAAGGAGAACATGGGAAGAAGTAAATATTTCTTTATCTATGAGAAGACAGGATACGTAACACTTGAGAGGAAATCACAAATGTGAATTTCAGAAGATCTTTAAAGATCTGTTTCTTTGTTTCAGTTTATATCTTCTCAGTGTTTCAGGTTGAATTAGAATACTCCCTGAATTAGAATACTCCCTGCCGCCGTAGCCCAGTGAACTCGCCATCATTTTTTCGCATCCGTCTGTACCTACTCCAGGGAGCATTTCCTCTCTTTATAAAAAATCTGTTGTCCACATAAACAATTACATTCTTGGTTATCTTCACCTTGTATCTTTGTGTGCTTTCTGTGTGCCTTATCTTGTGTTCTCAAGACAGCAGCCTCCAGTTGCTGGAAATGAAGGTTTCCAATCTTTGAGAGGACAGCCATATACACATCTGAACATTTACAGCGTTCAATGGTAGTTTATTAGTAGAATGTCATGAAAGAATTCTTGAAAATGCAATCTTCTGCTTCGATATTCTTTATGGGACACTTTCCTCCATTTCATCCTTCTATTTCACTTTTCCAATCATTGGTTGCAAATTCTGCATGAATCAGACATTTTTCTTCCTTTCAGTTGTTTTTCATTAAAATATGATCATCTTACCTATATACCTCTCTTCTATTTGTTTATACCATCCACAGACCATTTTGCTATTACCAGAAGTTTCCCATTGTTTTCCTATAACTTGTTTCTATGAGTCTTTCTCGATTTTTTCATTTATCCCTCTTTCTATCTAATTAATGAGGTATCCCAAAACACTAGCACGTAAGAACTAGAGTTTACTTTTAAGCAAAGCTCTCCGGTAATGAAAGAATGTGTTATGAACAGCAGAGATGAAACAATCTAGAGGAAGGGATGGTTTTCCGAGTCTGTGTCTACTAGACTGGTTTGCTTTAGAAAAGCATCAGTTACCTCTGATAAACCCATCTGTCACTTAAGAACACAAAATCAAGTGCGGATAAGAAGCAAGGCACACACATTTTTTGGTAACCAGATAAGCATAATTTTATGGCCCAGTTGAGCTGCCAACAAGAAAAAATTATAATAATAAAACTACTCAATAAATAGCATACTTGAAAGAAGAAGGACCGAATTCAGGCATTCTTAACTTTTCCTGAGATCATCCCAATGTTCTGTTAAATATTTAGTGTGTGCTGCCCTTGTAGTCACTTCCTTAGTAGGAACAATCATTTAGCATCACCCTTGAGTGATTCAGTATGTAATAGTGGACTTATTTTCAATTTCTCATTAATGGGAAGGGCCTGTAATCAGAGCGGAAGTAGGCTGTTAGGGGCGTGTTTTGTCACTAGGGTAATAAATCAAACTGTGAGTAAAAACAGCCCTCACTAATGGATATGAAGTACAATCTGAGAATCATCTCCACAGCTTACTCACTGGATAAGCTAACAGACTGAGCTGGGCTCTGTGTTCATGAGTTATTTGGGTGAGTTTGTGCTTGCTGAGGAACAGAGCTGTTGCTTCATTGAGTTTATCTAAGCAGCATGATTGACTCTCACACGGTAAGAAGTGAAACCAGACAGAGAGCTCTGAACTTGCTACCCTACCTACCAAGGGCTGCTGCCAGCGATAACTGTATAGCAGTGAGAAAAGGAAGATTTGCCTTGCGAGACTGGGAGAAACGGAACTAGATAGGAGTGAAGTAAAGGCTTCTCTTGCAAAATGTGAATGCAGATCTATTCTGGGAAAAACAATCCTCAGAAGAAACAAAAGTTAATGTTGACATCCAGTACATGATAAATTCCTATAAAAGAAAGCAATATCTCTTTGCCCAGTTTAACTTTGGAGAAATAGTTTAGGGGAAAAGAATACATGAATTTCAAGATATGTCCTATATAGATACGCTTTTAATTATGAAAGTCATCCATACTGAAAAATAGAATATTTTTGCATTTTGAGACTATTTTTTGTGATAAGTTTTAATATCATTCAAATAGCCTTTTTCCATTTCAGTCTTTGAGAATATAATAGGGAACTACATATTTCTTGTGAGGCCAAATTTTAAAAATCCTAATGGCTCATCCTAGCAAAACTCAAATCCAAACTCTGAGTCACAAAATCTGCCCCTCTTCTTTCTCAATTACTTATTTATATTCTAGAACAGATATCTTTCTAGTTTTTTTTTTGGTAACTAAAAATCATCATTTAAATATGATTTATATTCTAAATCCTTCCACAAAAATATTTCTTATTGGTGAAATCAAATTTTTACTTTGTTTTAGTATAATACAGAAGGTAAATAAAAATCAATTTCCACCCAATATTTGGTCTATAATACTGTTATGTTTCTTTTATTATTTAACTTCTCTTGAAAAATTCAAATATTTTACTGTTCCTTGAAACATCATTTTAAATTGAGGTATAGTTTACATACAATGGATGCCTAGATCGTAAGTGTACAGTTTAGTGAGTTATAACTACAACTCCCATCAACATTTGAACTTTTCCATCACCCTAGAGAGCTCTCCTGTGTTCCTTTTGAGTCAAATCATCCTTCCAACACACATAAAAGCAATCATTTTTCTGATTTCTGTCACCATAGTTTAGTTTGGCTATTCTTGAATGTCATATAAATGAAAATACGCAGTATATAATTGTGGCTGGATTTTTTTCACTCGACATTTTTATTTTTGAGATTCATTAATTGCTAAGCAGAATTTCCTAGTATAGATATACGATAATTTGTTTATCCATTTTCTTGTTGATAGATATTTGGGTTATTTCTAGGATCTGGCTCTTAAGAATAAAGCAATTCTTGTACAAAGCAATTTGAAGACATATTTTCATTTCTCTTGAGAAAATATGTAGGAGTAGAATTGCTGGATCATAGGGTAGGTGTATATTTAATTATGTGAGAAACAGTTTTCCAAAATATTTTTTCATTTTACTCTCCCATCAATAATGTATGAAAATTTCAATTGCTTCACATCTGCACCAACTTCATCAAAAGTACCATCAATCTTTTTTTATTTTTAGTCATGCTAATTGTAGATATTTATATATTAACTCAATATTTTTATTATATTACCCACATTTATCCTCGTTTACATCATCTCTCTTAAACAGTAACTACAAGGAGGTTAGGGGATTGTACTTCAGATGTTCTTTTTATACGTCTTCTAGGGTAATCAGGTATTTAATAAAAGTTCTTATTGTGATTAAAACAATAAAATTTGATATATTTTGAATTTTCATAGCTACTAAGTACAAATATTGGAGAGATGTTTTATGATCTCATTATTTTGCATGGATTGTTCCATTTCTAGCAAACAAGAAACTGTCCAAATTCATTCAAAATTTGGAGAAAATTAACTTCTAAATTTCATATAAGAAGATGAGGAGACACATAGCTACTTTTTTATTTAAAAGCCTCAAGAGAATATCACATATCATTATCTTACTTCTATAGTCTGCCTGACTTCATCATCAACTTTCTCTCTTCAGGAAATGCCACCAGCCCTCATTTTGCAACACATCATGAAGGATCTCTTCGAGTTCCTATCCCATGTGCTGTACTGAATGTGGTCATCATCACTGTTTTAATTATAACTCTCATTGCTTTATCAGGTGGGTCTGCACTACATGATTTCATTGAGTCTCCAAGCTGCAAGCATTCACATACAGCTGAAATCAATGGGGATTACTCGGTCTAATTAATTAGGAATTCTGATTAACTTAGGATCATCCCACATATCATAAATGGCCAACTTCCTAATAAATACTAAATATAATTCCACATTCCTTGGATGATTAGGGTAATACATTTTTGAGTTTTCTAGCACTTCTTTATAAGTACTAAAAGTATCTATGATTTATATATTACTATGGGAGAAAATTACATTTGAGCAGATGTTTAAATCTGGAATTAAATGGGCTGATTTAGATTCTAAATAAATAGACACCTAGCTAGAAAAAAAAGTGGGCTTCACATTCATTGTTAATGGAAAAAATAATATCTAAGCCATAAGTTAATTAGGAGTTGGCCAGTCTTTTGTCTTTTACTTAAGACAACTATCCATCTACAGAATGGATAATTAAGAATATATCTAGAAATTTCAGGTGTGTACACCTGAAATTTTTACAATGTTATAAACCAATGTTACTGCAATAAACAAAAAATTAAAAAAAATCATTAATAGTTTATATTGATGACATGTTGAAATTATAATATTTTAGATATATTGGGTAAAATAAAATATATCACTAACATTAAAAAAAAAAAAAAGAATATATCTAAAAGCTCTCAGAGAGTCAATTGTGAAATGGCATTCAAAACACACAGCTATAACAAGATACATCTCTGTCTTCTACAAACATGGAATTTTATGATTTTATGAAAAATCCTCAGCCATAGATCTTTCTGTATTCTGAATTACTTCCCTGCAAATTATTCTCTCCTTCATCTTCCAATACACTGTTATATCTACTGCATCTTCAAATTTCTCTACCTGTGCATTCAGATTCAAAACCTTACTTGGAACTTATAATGCACTTTACTCTTCCTAGTCCAAAGACTATTTTCAAGATTTTTCTATTTTCCTACCACTTTCTGGCATTATGGCCAAAGAGACACCCTCTTATTTCTTATACCCTGTGCAATGATGATTAGGCACATGAAAGATCAGATAAGGTGAGAATCTGCCTTCTTACTCTTCTCAGAATTCTCCTTCTTGTCTCTTATCCTTTACTTCATCACCTAGCACAGCACGGCATCTCCTGAACGAGTTTTGCATATTGTGGGTACTTGGGTTCTTTTGTTACTAAAACAAACCATTTTCATTTTCACAGTGGGACAATACAATTGTCCAGGCCAACATATGTCCTCAGTGCCAAGAAATAGCCATGTTTCTTCATGCTCAGATGATTGGATTAGATACCAGAGGAAATGCTACTTTTTTTCCCCTATGACAAAGAACTGGACCTTGGCCCAAAACTTTTGCTCCAAACACGGTGCTACTCTTGCTCTCATTGATTCTGAAAATGACAAGGTAAGATAGTATTTAAAAACAATTTCATAAACTATTGCTATTTTATTTTATACAGCCAATCTGTGGTTTCCTTCTGTTTCCTTCTAAGCGAAAACATCGTACCTATCTCCTATGCAGGAAAATTTAGTAACAGAAAGCCATATCATCAGTCTGAGGTCAAAATGAGCGTTTAATTTAGTCCTGTAATTTGACTTGATTACTTATTGTCAAAGGCCAGAAATCCAAACGTGCTGATCCTATATAGAGATAATAAATCATCAGTTTAGCTATCATGCATTGAATTGCAGCCTTTGAGAAACAGGATTTATAATACGCTTACCCGGGAGGGTTGTTTAACATACATTTCCTTTGTGCTTTCTTTAAGATCTTTCTAAAACGATATGTGGGTAGAGCTGAACACTGGATTGGCATGAAAAATGAAGCTGGTCATACACAGAAATGGTTAAATGGCAAAAAATCAAACAACTGGTAAGTTTCAAGATGTCTCTTTATTCTCCCCAGGCTGGCGGCACAGAGAAACCATTTTCCTTTTCTCCTTTCAAAGCACTCTGCTATATGAAGGTTGTGCTCTTTATGAGCAGGGATCTCACAATCTCTTTTGTATGTTTACATTCCTTGGAATTTTTTCTTTAATATTATCTTTTTTTCTTTTTATCTACTTGGAATTCATACAATAAATGTTTCTAGCAATTTGATCTCAGCAAATTCTAGTGAGTAAGAGACTCAGAAATATTCCAGGAATAATTATGAGGTCACACAAAAAATCTAACATTTCCAATCTCAGATTTATACTTTTCTGATGAGCTAGTTTGGGGAAAATAATCCCCTCTTACTCTTTCCCAGTTTTCCTCGCCCCAAGGAAAAAGAACAATATTTTCAATACCTACTTAGAAGCTTCTATAGACCTGAGAGAAAACTTGCCCCGAAATTAAAGATGCTGACTCTATTTTCATTACCTGCAATTAAACTATACTTTTACAGTTTGAAAGACATTTTATAAGTGTTAGTCCTTGCCATCTGAAAACTTAGAGTTGAATAAATTTCTTTCTATCTAAATAGTCTTTTATGATAATTACTGAAACAGAGAATAAATTCAAATCTCTAGAAAAGGAATCCTTAATATGTGTCCTATGGTACTAATAGCCACACATGGGCTTCAGGAGCCATAAAGCCCCTAAAATTGTATGCACTAGTATGCATGATTGTTGACTGTGTATACTTCCTGGGAATTTTTTCTCAAAGAGTTTGTCAACTCAAAATGACCAAGAGTCACTCCTCTGGTGGCATGCCAACCAAATGAATAGAGCTCTAAACTCTTGGCTTTGTATCTTCTCTCCTATTACTATTCCTTTCAATTTTGTCTATGGTCTCTACAGGTTAGTCTATGATCATTTGACTGCAGACTTGCCTCATGCAGTTCTACTAAGCAAAATAAATAAATAAATAAAGCAGAAGCCACCACCACTACAAAGTTCATTCTCATGTAACTGAACGGAAATGATTAACTGAAAATAATTCTAAGTTTCCTGTATTGTTTGACAGGTCCAACCTTACAGAATCCAAGAACTGTTCATTTCTGAATAGCGAAGAGGTCAGCAGCACAGAATGTGAAAGGAATTTACACTGGATATGTAGCAAACCCTCCCAATCATGAGGAATCATATTTTCTTATTGACAATTATATCATGGAACGCCAGGAAGTTTGTGTCAATGGATGCTGCTCTGTGGTCAGAAGTCTTCCATAAAGACTTTGTGAAAAAACTTGGTATTATGTCAGAAATCTTCTTCCAAACAACACTGTGGGAAAAGGGAGAGAAATTCCAGGAATATCTGCATTGTGGAATACTCCTGCCATGAGCTGAAAATGTCAGAGGTTGACTAATAATTATGTCCAAGGATGAGAAGAATGACTTTAAACGTTTTGGATGCACTTTATATTTTTTTAATTCAGAAATAAGAAATAACTAGATTTAGAGTTATTTATTGTTGAATGACTACCAACAATGAGTGTCCTTCACGAGTCTGCACTCTATGAAGGAGTTAGATGGTGGTATTAAAAACTGAATGTAAACAGAGGGAATTTTGACTGGTAACACATTCAATCTAAATGCATGTTTTAAACTGAGAGAACGTTTATAAGTGGACAAATGCTTATGGAACTAAGCTTTGAAATATTTCTCTCTTTTTAGAGAAGTTCTCTTTTTAGACAGAAACTTTGTCATTTTTCCCCCCAGAGAGTGGGATGATCATGTATTTATGTTGTATCTTTTTCTTCTTTAATGTAGACTCGTCTTTTTCAATGGTACATAATTTTGTTGCCTTTAAAATCTTAAAACAGTGTTTTGCAGAGATAAAGACAAAAGCAAAGAATATAAGGTATTCATAAAACAGAAGAAGGTGTTAGAAACTGTGCAATATGTGATGTGGCAAGTCCCTATCAGGAAAAATTCTGTATTGTTCAAACCTGGAATGATGCTAGTCTTCTCTGATTATAGATTTGTGCCTTTCCTAATTAATTCTATCATGTGCAATTCTTCATATGAAGTATTTTCTAAGTGCAATAAAGTGTGTTTGTCTTTTGTATTCAAATTATAAGCTGCTTTTATGTATGTTTATAATAAAATTAGAGTCAACAAAATAGTGTCTAAGTGTTCATTCCTTCAAAATACACTAAAAATTATGTCATATGAGAAAGCAGAAAACAGAATTCTATAATTTTTTAAAAGTTATTTATAGTAAAATCTTAGCTTTATAACATGGTTTGTACTTTTCAAATTGTTTTCATATATGTGTTTCCACACATATTTTTTGTCTCTATTATTTTCTTCCTCTCTTTTATTTTTTACCACCCTCAAACTGAAGAGGCAAGAGAAATGAAGAGACACCTAAACTCATTTTGCAAGGACCTATGTATAAGCTCGTCCTCTCTCCAATAAGAGGATAATTGGTCCTCATAACCGATGCTCTGAAAGTATCTTGTTCAGTTCTGAAATGCTACACATATCTTAGTTATTTATATAAAATAATTCATTAAGTAGAAATGAGGCACTACATGAACATTTCTAAGATCTTCATGGGATATTTCAGTTAGGAGAAATTTTATTACCTTCAAAAGTGTTTCATGAATGCATTTTGCAATATTCTCCTTCTCTGAAAATTGGAAATGTACATTATATGTGGCATCTTTAGACTGTTGTCACTAGTATGACATATTGAAAAGAAATGTTGATTCCAGACACTGCTTAGTGATAAAAAAATATAGAAGTTTCTTAATCTCAGTGTCCCTTAGTTCCCACAGCTGTAAAATGAAACAATGGCCTCTAAGCTCTGATAGCCTATCATCAATAACAACAATATACTCTTGAGTCATGTTGGAAAACAACATCTTGTGATTCGTGTACTATGAAATGTGCAAGTGCAAAGTGTAGCTTTTAAGAGTCTGAGCACAGGAGAAATATTGTCTGAGTTCCATCTCTGCCACTCACTGGTTGACTAGTTGTTTTAGGTAGAATTAGTTAGAAATTTAATTAAAATTAGATAGAAATTATCTTAGTCAATACATGAAAATGGGCTTAGAACAGTACCTGGCCTAAAGTGAACTCCAACGATGTATTAAATATTAGTGATGATTTTAATAAATGGGAACACTACATTATCAAATTTCCAGTATTGGCATAAGGCAGCATTTCTACATAACATATCTACATCTACATAGCATATCTTATTTCTGGGCTTTTTTTGAGGGGCTTTTTAAAAAATTTATTCAATGAGTGATTATTAAGCAACCGCTACTGTGGTGGACAACAGAGTTAAAGCACTGAGCAAATTTCACATGACAACTGGCCTTTTGGAATTCATGGTCTACTTGTAAAATAAACAGTAAAGTGAACAATTATAGTGGTGATGAAGCCTATGGCAGGGAAAAAGTAGGGTGCTGTGGAAAAATATTACAGATATACTACTTAATTTGCTCCTGTATTCAAACTTTTAGCTAATTTTTAAAATGTTACATCAGTGGGCTATATTTACCACAGATAATTATATTAATATGTGCTGAAAATAACTATCATTTATCTGTGTTTCATTTTACTTTTCCAACATAATTTCAATTTCTTCCTCTGAAAAGGGGAATAATATTTTCCCTGCTTATTTCACATAATTATATGAATTCAATAAAATTAAAAGTATTTTAGAAAGAATAAAATGCCATTGAAATGTTAGATACTATAGTCTGTAATCAATTGATTCAAAATGTTTATAATACAAATATAGAAATGACCTTTCTAAGCTTGTTCTCAATTTTCATAATTTTGACTAGATTTTCACACATGAAAATACATCATAACTGAAATTAAAATGCTAATAAAATTCTGGAGAAATGTTGAAAACTATATAATCAGAAAGACTGATGGTGATCATATAAATTGGTTTAGTTTAGCCTTTGGCAAAAAGTTTGAAAATATTTATCAAAAAATTTAAAAAGATTTATACCTTTCCTTTGATGTGACACTTTCTGTGGTGGGGAGGGATTTTAAAAGAATAATCTTAGATGAGTAAGACACAAGCACAAAAATGTTCATCAAAGGGCTACTTTTAGTTGTGATAAATCAGAAGCCACTTAATTGTCCAAAACTGAGGATTTAGTTAAATAAATATGATTCTATTACATGATGAAATGATATGTCAACATTAAAAAATAATAATGAAGAAGAATGTTTACGTATATGGGAGGATACTCAAACTATTATTGCTAAGCCAGTTAAAATAATATATACAATAAGATTCCATCTTATTATGTGTTAAATATAAAAATATATATTTTGTGTTTATATGCTAAAAGAGAGAAAAACCACAAAGGGAAACACAATGGTTTTCCCTGAGTAGTAAGACTATAAGTAATGTTTATTTTCTTCATTATGTTTCTCTATAGTTTCAAAATATTCTGTAATAAATAGCTATTTTACTCTTAATAAGAAAAATTTTTATTTTAAATAAGCCCAAATATAGGATCATTAAAGGAAATAATTTCATTATTTATGGTATAAGTCTACTTTCTAGCCACCAGCTGCAAATATTAAAAATGAGTTTGCGTCAAGAATCTCCCCTACGCTAAATTTTTTAGTTCCCCCGTGCCCTGTGTGGGCACTCACAAGCTGCAGTGTCATCTAGTGGCTGAATAAAGTCATTGCACTTTTGCTGTTTTTTGGTCCAGAAAGTATACTTAACCTGGGAAAAACCATGGATTTTTTTCCTTTTTAAACACAGTGTTATGAGTAATATAATCAGATTTCTGTATTTTACTATAGAGACATTGCATCTAATTTCTGCCCCACAGTAGAGACCAAAGAAATGATCTATACCCTAAATAGTAATACCTAGCGTGTATTTTTGTTCTGTTTTGTTTTCCAGCTTTATTGAAGTCTAATTGGTATGTAAAAAACTGCACATAATTAATGTATACAATTTGGTGGTTTTGTACATATGTTACACTTGTGTTACCATCAGTACAATCCAAGTAATAAACCTATCCATTACCTCCCAAAGTTTTCTCATGATCTTTTGGATTGTGTATCTGTGTACCTGTTTTGTAATAACAATGCAACATGAAATCTAACCTCTTGAAGAATTCAGTAAAACTGCAGGATACAAAATCAACATACAAAAATCAGTTGCATTTCTACACACCAACAACAAACTATCCAACATGAAATTAAGGAAACAATCCCATTTATAACAACAAAAAGAATAGAATACTTAGGACTAAATCTAACGAAGGAGGTATACGACTGTACTTTGAAAACTTTAAGGAACTGATAAAAGATATTAGAGCAGACACAAATATATGGAAAGGCATCACATGCTCATAGATTAGAAGATTTAATATTGTTAAATGTCAAACTACTTAAAGTGATCTACAAATTCAGTTCAATCTCAATCAAAATCCCAAATATATATTTTTATAAAAATCGAAAAAATAATCCTAAAATTCATATGGAACCACAAAATAGGCAAAGCAATCAAGCAAGAAGAACAAAGCTGGAAGCTTCACACTTCCTGATTTCAAAATATATTACAAAGCTATAGTAATCAAACAGTATGGTTTTGGTATAAAAATATACCTATAGATCAAAGGAACTGAATAGAAAGTCAAAAATAAACCCACACATACACAATCAACTGGGTCTTTGATAAGTGTGTCAAGAATACACAACAGAGAAAGGATAAACTCTTGAATAAACGGTGTAGGGAAAACTAGATATCCACATACTAAAGAATTAAATTGGATCCTTATCTTTCACTATATGCAAAAATTAACTGCAAATAGATTAAAGATTTGAGCATAAGATCTGAAACCATAAAACGCCTAGAAGAAAACATAGGGGAAAAAGCTTCTTGACATTGATCTCCACAATGATTTCTTGAATATAATACCAAAAGCACTGGCAAAAACAGATAAGCGGGAGTACATCAAACTAAAAATATTCTGCACAGCAAAGGAAACAATCAACAGAACGAAAAGGCAACCTATGGAATGAGAAAAAATATTTGCACACCATAAATCTGATAAGGGGTAAACTTTAAAAATATATAAGGAATTCCTAAAACTCAATAGCAATCAATCAATCAATAATAACCTGCTTAAGAAATGGACAAAAGGGGCTGGCCCCATGGCTTGTCGGTTAAGTGCGCGTCCTCTGCTACTGGCAGCCCAGGTTCAGATCCCAGGTGCGCACCAACGCACCACTTCTCTGGCCATGCTGAGGCCGCATCCCACATACAGCAACTAGAAGGATGTGCAACTATGACATACAACTCTCTACTGGGGCTTTGGGGGAAAAAAAAGGAAGAGGATTGGCAATAGATGCTAGCTCAGAGCCGGTCTTCCTCAGCAAAAAGGGGAGGATTATCACGGATGTTAGCTCAGAGCTGATCTTCCTCACAAAAAAAAAGAAAAAACAAAAAAAGGAAATGGACAAAGGACCTGAATAGACATTTCTCCAAAGAAAGCATTTTTTTTTTATGTAACTCACTGTCAAAGGACATGACAAAAGTGTCTTTGTTATTCTTTACGCTCATATGACCTGTGTGTGTGGGTAACGAACGATACCTGATTTCAGGAATGCTTCATTCTCAGATTCATGGATGGAAGCAACAGTAGTCACACTCTCTCAACAATACCCTTTATATTTTTTCTAGTTACAAAAGGAAATATCTGTTACCTAGGAAAAATAACCTAAACCCTGATAAGACCTCACTCAACCATGTTTCTCAATATCTTCTGTGATAAGTAAAAACTCGAATTAAAATAATACATGTAAAAATGCTTGTACATGTATTATGTATATGTACATATATGCTAATGTATTTTGTATACGTTAGAGCACTATATTACTATAAGCCAACATACTTCAAAATTTCCAATTTTTGAGAAGTGATGGTCTGATTATTTTATATCTATATATATACATGGATATATATATATATATAAAATAACTTGCAACTAACATGTAGAAAAGTTTACAGCATATAAATGTAAGTTCAGTG